CACCTGCCCTTTATCCGTCTGAGTCTTTATCTCTCGTTGTCTCTTTCATCCCCTCGCTCTTACACATTCTCACTCTGCCTTTCTTTTTGTTCCCCTTATCTTTTCTGGGTTTGAATGTGCTCTTCTTGACTGTCCTCACTGTCCCTTCACACTATCTGTCATACCGAGGATCACTCTTGTAGCTATGGTAACTGGCTTACCACCATGTTGGAAAACATCATTATGCTTGCAGAAAAAGAGATATCTTCCCCCAGCACTGCTGTGCGGTAGGACAGCCTCGCTGCTCAGTAATTTCCATATGTTCTAATGTAATCAGCTCTTCAGCCTTTAGCGACGCTTAATTGATTTTCATAGCCTCGCACAATAGATTGGATATTTGTCCTCCTTTTAAAAGCCCATTCCTTTGTTGATTTTTTTTTTTTTTGCTATCTTATTGCACTGCACAGTGTTATTCAAAGAATGTTTTACCATCAGATAGTCAGTTTAATGATCACTTGTAATGCTCTGCTTCAGAATTAATCGCAGGACTCGGAAGCTAATGAGGAAAATTTAACTGTTGGGGAATATTTGTAGTCTGTTGTTAACAATGTAACTCAGTGATGGGGACCTCCCAAATCGACTTCCTTAATCACATCCACTTAAATCTATCTCTGTTTTTGATCAGCACATTAACCCATATAAAAGCAATGTGAGGAAAATGAGATTACAGGGTTTTTGCGTCGAGAAGCATCAGCGGAATGCATTTCGAATCCCGACATTTCCGCACCATCCTGTCCATTGGTGTCTTTTTATCCAGCTTCTTTCTGTGTTTGTCTCTCATGTAGGGCTGCCACGATTAGTCGACTAGTCAGGATTACGTCGACTATCAAAATTGTCTACGACTAATTTAATAGTCGACGCGTCGTTTGAAGCTTTGTAAGATCCCAAAAGATGCAGGAAAAGTAGCAGGATTTAAGAGTGTAATAACGGACTGAAACAGAAGATGGCAGCACTGCATGTACAAGGATGCCAGCTGCTGTTAAACCCCGAAGAAGAAGAAACTGTGTCCCAGAATTCATAGCGCAGCCCAGCTCAGTTTCCAACAATGGCGGCAGCTAGTTAGTTTAATGTTACTCTTATTATTCTTTCTGGGTCACAAAATAAACGTTTAACATATTTTCAGGCGAGAATGTAGCTGTGTAAACCTCAAATATCTGCTCAGTTTATCAAGACACCACATATTTTCAAAAGCGCTCCGACGTTTTCGGAGACGTCTGTTACCCACTAGCTCGATAGCTAGCCGGGGGCAAGGCTCACTAGAGCCGTGAGAACACCGGACACCCGGCAAATCTTTTTCAACCCACCGCCGTCTTTTGCTACTCAGGTTAAACATGACATATAAGTCACTTGGATAACTTCAAAATGTTATTGTTTGGCTTTTTTCGGTATTTTATTTGTTCCTGAGTAAATCGATTTGGCTGAGATTAAAATTATAGTTTTTACACAGATGCTCGAGAATATACTCCGGTGTCCCGTTATATTTTAGATAGCAAGGAGCAGACGGCTGAGTTTATTAAACTCCACTGAAACAATCTGCAAATTTCATTCAAATTTAATAAACTATCATCTTGGCTTTATTTTTAGTTAGCACATACCGTAAACACTTAAAGCTGTAAGCTAATGATAGTTATATAAGAGCAGATGCATGCTGGTGCAATAAGCTGTACGTTTTACGTCCAATGGATGCACGATCTGATTAGTCGACGATCAAAATAATCGTTTTTGGCAGCCCTACTCTCATGCTTAGGCTCTAACTCCCCCCACCAAACTCCTCTCTCCTAACCCTTCTCAGTAACAGATGTTACGTCACTGTAATAGGCAAGACAGAATATTGTTTTTTTCTGCCTTTTTCCTCATTCTGTTTCAATGTCATGCACATTGTATTAAGCTTTGAATCCCCAAGTTCATTTGAAAACACACTGTTAGCTGTGTGGAGGAGATAACATATTCTGGAGAAAAAGTGAGATTGAGAAAGTTACTGAGGGAGGATGAAAGAGAGACCGACCGAGTTCAAGATGGTTAAAAACGAGGAAAGTGGGACCAGACAAGGACAAGAGACTATAGCAGCTTTTGTATTCTGTTTGAAGTCCATGCCCATAGACTGCAGCATCATATTGATCTGGTGCTGTTGTTATGCTAAGGTTGGGTTGGATGATGCCAGATACTCTTGGACGAATTGATTACGTTGAAGAGTGCATGGCTTCTTACTTGGCGTTAAAATGATTTATGTATCCATATTTCCAACTCTAGCCTCGAGACCAGGTATATCACATTAACATTTAGGAGTTTACTCCAGCATACTCATGAGAAATCCTGATATCATAGACAACTATTCTTCCCATATACACAGTGTTCCTTCACGGCTCTGCCTCCTATCCTGTGTTCCTCCACCTCCAGAGAGGTTGTTTTCATGGAGATCTAAGTAATTAGATTGCCATTTAATCCCCCCGCCTGTGTGAATACAACTGCTATATTTGATTCTGTGTCTAATCAACACAATTTACCATGCCAAGCGAGTCTCTTAAAGAAGAACTCGGGTCAATTTAACAGATTTTAAACATCACACTTAAAAATTTTGCCCTTCATCAAGCTAAAACCCTGCCAGACCCAGACAGGGTTTGTTAAAAATGAGCCTCCTGGGGTTTTTTTTTATTTTTATTGACAGCTATTTTTCCAATATACAGTCTGTGTTTTTCTGCACTTCCTCCGCAGGTGAAGAATTTCAGTCGATTGTGGCAGATCTAGGAAGCCGAATGTGGATATTTGACGTTAAAGACAGTTGTCAGTCTTTCTGCAAGATCAACACCTGCAAAATCAGAGGGAAAATCTGACCTTACTTTGTGTCAACTTTATAGAACAATCAGTTTTTCTTTGGGCTTTTTTAGTATTGAAAATCTCCATACGCGTTCTATTTTGAACAACTCACTCGTATGTATAATTGGCTCATATTCAAATGGCTACACTTAATCATAGCTTTTATTGCAACCTGCATTTGCATATTTAATATCTTCAGTGGGAATTGAGGTCACATTGATATACACACCAGGAGCTAAGTTTACAGAAGCCTAAAATTTGAATTATAGTCGGTTTAAAAGTGCAAACAGAATAAAAATACCCAATCTGAACACTGCAATCAAATTAAACAATTGTCATTTCAATTTTTTTAATTTTTTTTTTAAAAGAAATTTTTCACTTTTGCACCTGTCAGCACATCACTGATTAAATATCGGCCACATCTAAACACCAGAGCATTAGAAATCACATCGATGTGATGACTTTAGTAAAAAAACAAAACAAATAAAAACAAAAGTGTGCAAGCATCATAGGAAAGGTAATTTCTTCTAAGAGCCTTACAGGGAAATTGCTTTTATTTGTTAAAATTAAGCATTTTGCTACACAGTTTGTTGCTTGCAGATTGAGAGCAAAGGTTAGCAAACATCTTTGTGGTCTTGTCTTAGGAATGGAGAGTGGAGAAAGAGCCTGTGTTAGAGGGAACAGGGGTGCCTATTCTCCATGGGCAAAGCTCTGCATTGACACTGTACATATTAACTATATATAAGAGCGAAATCTCATCTCAGGAGTCAGTTCTATTTCATTCATTTTTTAAACCATTGCCTATTAATTAGTTCTGTCTTGTGTCCTTCAAATTCTTTGCCATCAGTCAGCTCAAATCACCCCGTCGTTCTGTCATTGAATTGTTGTTAAAGCACCATTCTTGTTGTCAACCCTGCGGCTATGCAGAGGACCTGCTGGGATCCTAAAATATTTTACGTTGCAATGCACCCTTCCTCATCTCACACATCAGAGGGAACAGAGTTATGCCCTGCTCCTTGATTTTCAGGAGCCGATTGAAGTATGGCCAGAGGCTTATCAGTTATTGAGAGCAGTAGATAGAAAATGATTATAAATGGCTTCTCAGAGGAGAAAAGTAGACTGAGTAGAACAGCAGTGACCACTGAAAACACTTTTATTGATTGCCTCTCACCCACCTACTTTTTTAAATCTCCTTTCTTTTCCATCTCTTCCCCATCTCGCTCGTTTTGACCGTTGTCAGCTTACTTCTTGTAATCACTGAAAAACAGAAACAGCTAAGCTGCATGCGCATACGCAATTTAACCTTGTGTCTTGCCATTCTAACTGTGAGTAAAGAGCCTTCATGGGGGTCATACTGACTGTGTAAGAACATGGCACAAGCTTGACTTAATTGTCATGCCCTACAAGGACTCACGTAGACTTAATAAATGAAATTTAGCAGCAATCTCAGTTTGGTAGGGCACTGCATCTTTGGAATTTATTTCAAAGTTGGGCTTTAATTAAGTATTGCAATAACTTTTAGCTGGCTTGTTGTGAGTTTGTGTATAGGGATTCATGATTCTTAGAGGCTATATCTGAGAACCATCGCTGAATTTAGCGTTTTTGTATGAGAATTAGATATTCTGAAGCCTCCAACAGAGCAACTAAACATTGTTTAACATACAAGCATAGTGCCTCCAAATTAAGTTATGCCACGTGTGTCTTCAAAAGAAGATACTTTCTCGCCTGGTTGACTTTGCACACGTATATTAGTTTTCAAATAAATGGAACTTTACATTTAAGTCATTCAGATTTTTAGTTGGCTTGGAAACAGCGCACTGTGATGATATTTCATGATGTGTGGACGGTAATTAATTTCACCTTTTGCAACCCTGTGCTCACACGCTCCATTGTATTTATCCCCTCTACTCAGTGAATGAAGCAGTGTGAAGGGACAGTATGAGAATCAGAAGAAGACGTATAGCTTAATGGACAGCGTCGCGTGTAAATGTCACATGTCCCCATGCGCTCATTAGCAGCATTCACATTAGTAATAGCCCTTCCCCTCCTCTCTGTGGTGTCTCTTTTCCACCTGTTCACTTTCCCTCAAGGAGAAAGAGCAGGGCGCATTTGGATCATCGTGTCTTTGAAGAGGAATGGCTACTAACCTGTAAATAATACATGCGCTGTTCCGGCATGTGTCACAGTTGGCCGTGTCCTGTCCGGTTCGATAGGAGAGTCTGCGGGGAAGATAAGAGTCGTGAATGAGTAATTACAGGACTTGTTAGGCTGCTCCCTCACACCTTCCTTTCTCATCTTATTTGTCATCCCTCGTTAGCGAGAGCGAAGTAAATGAGGGTGATGATGAGGAGTCACACTGCCCTCCTGACTGGCCCGTGCCTGGTAGCCAGGGCACGGTGTCAGCCATTACTTGTGGTTGACTGATTAGTAGTCAGATAAAGCTAAAGGGTACACAAGGTGAGTTTTTGGCCTGCGTTTAAAGAGGATTTTCATTATAGACTTGTTTCAGGATTGTTGCAATACCTTCCAATTATATTGGAGTTTTTCATGAAGTAATAACAAAAGTACTGTTGCGCTGTAACACTGCATTAGTGTAATTATCATTTAATCGGCTGATTATTTTATGTACACTGTGATAGAAACACATATTTAAACTGTTGATTAGAAGTGTAAACTCCTAATATATCAAACAGCGTTTATAACCCAAATGGTTCTTGGCTAATAAATTAAGTAATCTTTAGTCAGTTTTTATCAAAATGAATACAGGTTTTTAACACAATTTTTTTTTTTTTTTTAACTGGGTCTTTATTACTTTTTATTGCTGAATTGATGAGCTCCTCCTACGTTGAACGCTAACCCTTTTTACTCACGCGAAAGAAATCCCTTCATTGATTAATCCTTTCTGTGGAGCATATTTTTTGTAAAGCAAACAATCTGAGTTATAATCTGAAAGTAACAGAATCGTTTAGGTCCTCTAAGGAGATGAAATTGTACAATTTTGGTTGAGAATGCGACCCATTGACGTTTTATAGTTTGCCTCAATTTTATAGGCTAAAAACTAAAGTACTGTATTATATGATATGCTTTATATTGTTATCAGATGTTTTAACAACATAAAACAGGAAATGCTGATTGTGCTGATTAAAGATTATTTTCTAAAGGTTAACTGATGGGCCTGAGTTAAGAGCTTCAGTAAGCTAAAAGGATTTCTCTGGCATCTGTAAATGTGAGTAGAGTATTGATTTCAATGGTGTTCTTGTAATTGATGACATAATAGAATAGATGCAACTTTGGATTTTACCAACACTATTGAAAAGAAGGCCATTCTGGTTTTATGGTAATTAAACTTCTGCATCAGAAGAAGCAGTTTGTAAAAGTCTTGAAACATTGCTCATTTCTTTAGATTCCGGGTAGAAAAGGGTGAAACATTGCAGGAATGAATTGAAAGATGTAAACATATAGGGAACTATATAAGGCAACAGCCGAGATTGTACAATTCTAACAAGCCTGGAAGTCAATAACTTAGTATGTCCACCTTTATTCTTCTAACACAGCCTGAACTCCCTTCGGCAAGTTTTCCTGTAATTTCTATAGTAGTCTTTGGGAGTAATTCTGCAGGTTACTTGAAGGACTTTCAAAGATCTTCTTTGTTGGCTTCCTTTTGTTCTCTACTCTTTCAAAGTGATGCGACACTGTTTCAGTAATGTTGAGATCTGGGGAGGTCAGTTATTGACTGATAGGGTTTCGTTGTGTGCTTTTCTATTCAGGTATGCTTTGACTGCATTGGCAGCGTGTTTGGGCTGATGGTTATAATGAAAAATGAAGATCTAGATTTCCACAATTTTTTTTTTTTTTTTAGCCAGATCCCCAGCATCACTGGCATGTTTTACAGATGGCTTTAGAGAATCCGTGTTAAGACCTTTATCCTCCGTACCTAATGATCTAACCATTAGATCATTAGGTCTTTTTCTTAAGGACATGACTTTCAAATTAAAAAAAAATTAGGTTCAAGGTTTTCCACTTCTTCTTTTATTCTCCATTTTTTACAGTTTCCTTTAATCTCTTAAGGGCACTCAGCGCACCATACAGATGTATGTGATGATATATGACATAAGTCTTTGGCAAATATAAGGTCTTTTTTTGTGTAGACACAACACTGGATCATCCCTTGGGTTAAAGGCCTTTTTTATCCTTGAATGATCCACAGGCCAGCGTTCAGTCGCTTAGCAAGCAAAACATTGCTCTGAAAATGGAAAGTAGTCATGTATAACCATTGGACTGAAAATGAATGGAAAAGCAGCCAAAGAAAAACTTTGAAAGAGCTTCGGAAACCCTGAAGAACTATTCCCCCAATATTACTTTTAAAAATGACAAGAATACCAGGCTCCATAGAAGCAAAATAGAAATAAACGAGCAGAGGTTCAAGACTTTTTGCACAGTTCTGTTTACCACATAGAGATGCCATGCATAATTTTTAATAGCTGTGCTCTTCTTCATCGATCACTGGCAGGTATTTGTATGTCATCACGCATATTAGATACCACTCTCCTGCTAACCAAAACAGCTTATTCGGGTTATATCAGTGCCAGCATCAATAACGCCGTGGTACACAGGCATGTAACCTTTGAAACACAGTTTAAAACTTGCTTACCAGTGGATCAGGTATTTTTATCTGTCAAGGTTTTGAGATGTCTAAGGTTTCTCTCTTCACCCTTTCTGTTAGAGCTCATCCCAGTGATGAACAGCTGCACATTTTTCCAGACAAAAAAAGGCCTTTGTTACTCAGTTTAATCAATAAAACATATGAAAACAGAGAGAGACTGCTCAGAGTGGGGTCTGTGGATTAGTCTCAGTAATGGGGGCACTGTTTCTGGAGAGAGATGTTGCTGTTGAACTTTCAACAGTATTGTTTTGTCAAGTAACACATCAGCTAAATACCAATAGAGATTAGCGAGAAGATGTTTTTTCTTCTTTGTGAGGTTTATTTAGATGTGATGATGCTTTCACAGACAGTTACACATGTCTGGTTTCTCAAGTGAACCTTAATGTTAAAGCCACTGTGTTCCATTCCTCATACTTCTAATGGGTAACTTTTGCTTTTAATCCTCAGCTTTCATCTTTGCAGTAGAATAGCCGTTTTTCATTTCTCTCACTACTACTTTTGCCAGGCTACCCACAGGCTGCGGCACCAATAAAAATTAAAGCCCTACCATAAATTTCCCCTTATCTGCTGCACTGCTGCACTGCTTTCTGCGCTGTGTGCTCTGACAGGTATATTGGAGGTGTTGACATCAATATGGTTATTTAAGACTGTACCAGACTCGGGAAATGGGATGGATGCAGTGATACAAGATTTACGTTTACATGTTTACATTTGCAACTGGGATTAATTGTAATAATAGGCTTGGAAGTGCAGTGCAGTGCAGTGAGGAAGACCACAGCCACGCTCGCTTTTCGCAAGACGAGTCAATCAATAAACAACTGATGGGTTACATTGTCAACTGAATTGTGCCCTTTGAACGACTCCCCTATTTTCTGTCTTTCTCTAACCCTCATGCTGTCTAGGTCTCTTTCCCCTTCAATCTTTCATAACTCCTCACCCCTCTCACACTGAGTTGATAGGAGAAAATAAGAGAGTAGAGCTCATTTCGGCAAGCTTCCCTGGGGAGCGCGATGCCAAAAGTGCCATTAACAGTATATTTACACACCTTCCTCGATTTTGCTACTACGTGAAGTCTCCCAAATGTCACAGAGTGGGTGGGATTCCAGGGGCATAAAAACATGCACACATACACAGTGCTAATAGACACGCTAGCAACAAGTCCCCATGAGTGTGATTAATTGGGTCTGGGCTGCCAGCACTATCTGATGATACAGTATTATTCCCAAGCTTTGTGTTCTTGGGTCCAGCCAATGATGTACTCTAGAATCCTTCTCACTGTCACGCTCTATGCTCTGGGCAAAACTGTAGTCGAGGGACAAGTGTCTGTGTGTGTTTGTGCTTTTCAGAGTGTTCCCTTTGTAATAGCTTCTCATCCCCAGTCTCGTCAGACTTTATAGTCCCAAGTTTTTAGTGGTTTTCTTCCCTAACTGTCTCATTTTTTTGTTAATAGCCAAGTCGAAGAAGTCATTTTCAATGCTGAGGGACTGGAATTGCTATTCCAATATATAGTTTTTTGGAGGAAGTAACACTTTTGATGGGGATAAAACCACTCCAGTTGAAACATCAGTACCAACAGAGAAGTTACAAAAAAAGGGTTAACTTTCATATTCACCAAAGGATAAAAGTCATCAAGCCAATAGGAAAAAACAAAACAAAAAAGCCTTCTATGTCTTTCTTTCAAGAAATATGTTGTTTTGCAAATTGTAGTTTCTTTAAGATCACTGCTAGATTTTAAGGCACATAGAAGGCTTTAATGTCTGCCATGTTCTTGGGTTGATGGAAAGCTCTGTGCCCACCTGCTGCCTGCTGCACTCTCCGCCTCTTGAACTCACTGGGGAGAGCAGCAGGCAGACTTTTGTAGCTTCTCTTTAAGAAGTAAACAGTGATTTTTCTACTGTGCTTTTGGTTTAAGATTTGCACTAACAAGACCCTCAGAGGATGCTGTCATGCGATATATTTCTGTAAATGTAATGTACATCGCAGATTGTTGTTATTTGGAAGGTCCTGGCTGCACATGGGAAAGATGGTGCTGACTCTTAGCTTCAAACTCGCTCCAATACAGCTGGTGACATCACATCTCAATATAGTTACATTTCAGTTCGAGGCATCCAATCACAGGAGTCTAATAATTTGATTGAGTTTGTGATGAATTTGTTTTGATGTGAAACTGCCAAGCAGTTTGAATCCACCACCACTATGTTTTTCTCTGCTTGCTGTTTTTTCACAATAAAATGTGAAACTCATCAGGTTATATGTACAGGGAGTGCAGAATTATTAGGAAAATGAGTATTTTGTCCACATCATCCTCTTCATGCATGTTGTCTTACTCCAAGCTGTATAGGCTCGAAAGCCTACTACCAATTAAGCATATTAGGTGATGTGCATCTCTGTAATGAGAAGGGGTGTGGTCTAATGACATCAACACCCTATATCAGGTGTGCATAATTATTAGGCAACTTCCTTTCCTTTGGCAAAATGGGTCAAAAGAAGGACTTGACAGGCTCAGAAAAGTCAAAAATAGTGAGATATCTTGCAGAGGGATGCAGCAGTCTCAAAATTGCAAAGCTTCTGAAGCGTGATCATCGAACAATCAAGCGTTTCATTCAAAATAGTCAACAGGGTCGCAAGAAGCGTGTGGAAAAACCAAGGCGCAAAATAACTGCCCATGAACTGAGAAAAGTCAAGCGTGCAGCTGCCAAGATGCCACTTGCCACCAGTTTGGCCATATTTCAGAGCTGCAACATCACTGGAGTGCCCAAAAGCACAAGGTGTGCAATACTCAGAGACATGGCCAAGGTAAGAAAGGCTGAAAGACGACCACCACTGAACAAGACACACAAGCTGAAACGTCAAGACTGGGCCAAGAAATATCTCAAGACTGGTTTTTCTAAGGTTTTATGGACTGATGAAATGAGAGTGAGTCTTGATGGGCCAGATGGATGGGCCCGTGGCTGGATTGGTAAAGGGCAGAGAGCTCCAGTCCGACTCAGACGCCAGCAAGGTGGAGGTGGAGTACTGGTTTGGGCTGGTATCATCAAAGATGAGCTTGTGGGGCCTTTTCGGGTTGAGGATGGAGTCAAGCTCAACTCCCAGTCCTACTGCCAGTTTCTGGAAGACACCTTCTTCAAGCAGTGGTACAGGAAGAAGTCTGCATCCTTCAAGAAAAACATGATTTTCATGCAGGACAATGCTCCATCACACGCGTCCAAGTACTCCACAGCGTGGCTGGCAAGAAAGGGTATAAAAGAAGAAAAACTAATGACATGGCCTCCTTGTTCACCTGATCTGAACCCCATTGAGAACCTGTGGTCCATCATCAAATGTGAGATTTACAAGGAGGGAAAACAGTACACCTCTCTGAACAGTGTCTGGGAGGCTGTGGTTGCTGCTGCACGCAATGTTGATGGTGAACAGATCAAAACACTGACAGAATCCATGGATGGCAGGCTTTTGAGTGTCCTTGCAAAGAAAGGTGGCTATATTGGTCGCTGATTTGTTTTTGTTTTGTTTTTGAATGTCAGAAATGTATATTTGTGAATGTGGAGATGTTATATTGGTTTCACTGGTAAAAATAAATAATTGAAATGGGTATATATTTGTTTTTTGTTAAGTTGCCTAATAATTATGCACAGTAATAGTCACCTGCACACACAGATATCCCCCTAAAATAGCTAAAACTAAAAACAAACTAAAAACTACTTCCAAAAACATTCAGCTTTGATATTAATGAGTTTTTTGGGTTCATTGAGAACATGGTTGTTGTTCAATAATAAAATTATTCCTCAAAAATACAACTTGCCTAATAATTCTGCACTCCCTGTAGTTTTGTTCTACTTTGTAACTGTGTCCTTCTTTTCTTCCTCCTAGACTTTTGTCTTTTGCACCCCTATTTTCTTTCTCCTGATGTCACACAGATCAGGAGAAACAAAAGATTTTTTGCACCAGCATCACAGCCACTGTAGACATGCACAATAGTTCTAAGTTATATGACTTAATATAAGATGCAATTCACCTATAGCCTATGGGCAGTCCTATTGTTTGTGTCAGTGACATTTACATAGGGGGTAAGTGAAGCTAATGTAGTGTGAAAAAAGTGACCTTTGAAATACAGAAATACTGTATTTACAGGACAAAGATGACTATGCTTGAATAGATAAATAGAAGTTCACTTAGCCTTGGATGGATTACACGGGGCTTACACTGCTCACTGGCTTTAGCTTAATGTAGGAAGCACAATGTGAAAACACAGTGTCTTTGTGTATGTGAACAGATGGTGCCATTAAAGAGTGCTCACTTATTTTTGTCTATGAAAAGCTTCTCCTCTCCTTACCTCCCCACTTCCCACCTGCCACTTTAGACACACCTGATAAGTCAGATGTGCTCGGCAACGCATTGAAAGTAGTGTCCCGCGTGTGCTAACTTTTTCAATCGCATTTTTCTAAGTTTGTCAACTAGGAGATTAAAGTTGCATTGTGCAAGACTGAAGGAGGATAATTGCCTTGTTAGAGGGTTGCAAATGCTACGTGTTATGTTTGAAGTTGAAATTGAGAATTGCTTTCTTACACTTGGAAGTACTTGTACTTGTGTCCTCCTTGTTTATAAGCTTGACAGGTGTGTTTTGGATATGTTGATTACATGGGGTTTCTCGCTCCATGCCGTAACACGGCTACTGGTCAAAACAGATAGGGATCTGGGTGCCGAGCCCCAGCAATTCTCCCAACAAATTGCCCATTTTGTTTGCCTCGTCCCTTTAGATAGCATCAAACCCACTGAAATAGAGGATTGTCTATCTGCAGCCCTTTTGTATATACTCAGTATCTTTTGGACAGTAAATGGCTTTTTCACAGGCTGTGGCTTTTTCACATGCCTTGGACTTTTCTAGATAAACTTATAGTCTGCTGCTGGATAAAGCCAATCGTTAAACGTTTAGTATTTTCTTTAAGTAATAAACAGTCTTAAATTTAATGCCATTCTGTAATTTGATGCCCTGCTTAGAATAATATTCATGTCTTGAGCATTTTAGTGTTAAATTACTCAATTAACAAACTGAGAGAGCGTTGCTTAGCACTGGGTTTGTGAATGAAGGTGACATACACAATGGCAACATGTGATTTAAAGCATGTACGTAATGCAGCAGCTGCACCATATCTAAGGAAAATTGTCACAAAAGGGCATTGCACTGTAATAGCACTGCAGGGCACATCCAAGTGAAAGCCACATCACTACAGCTACAATAATGCTCTTTTGGTGCCTCAGTCAAGGCTCTGCTGAGCAGCTGTCACACTTATAAGATTTTTACTGTAATAAAGAAATAATGTGTCACACCAACATTGTATTTTTGTTGTTGATACTGAATCATGAACGTGTTGTGTTTCTCTTGTTTTGTAATATATTCTTCTCTCAGTTTTTATCTGTAGATTTATAGCATTCCTTTGTGGCTAACATAAGACCCGCATCAGTGTATGTTAAGTAGACAACTCTTGCTAAACCAATCAATAGATGCTTTTGTTGTTTGTTTTGTCTGTGTTGCGTGTTTTGTAATACATCTGTAGTTCCATAATTCAGCCATGGTTGGCCACTGAGTCATTTTCAGTGCTAAATCGATCTTTGGCCTTTTAGCATAAAATTGGTTCTCCTCAGTTCTGTGCAGTCAGTGTTACCAATTTACAATCTGGAGAAGAGCCTTGGCGTGGGACCGGTACTGTGCATCTGCAGCAGGGAGAAATGATCGTGCATCTGTACACGATTCGAGTGAGATGGCTTACCCTTCTCTGTGGGCCTCTCCTTTTTCCAGTTCCTGGATGACCCCCAGCAGCACCTTGATGGTCTCTTGGCTGGAGCTGATGAGATTTTCCATGGCCTGGAGCTGTGCTTTAACGTCCCCGTCCTGATTCATAGGCACTATTTGCTTACAGGCTTCCTGCGTTTGGTCGGTTGGTGTTCCATCAGCCTCACCGCCTATGCAGGGTGACAGAGGTTCCTCCATGCCCCGTATAGGCCGGGCAGATAACTGCCCCGTGTGGCACTGTGCCTGTGTTTTACAGCCTCCACGGGATCGTGGTAACGTCTCACTCGACAGCCCGTTGAGCTGCAGGCCTTTCTTTCGCTTGCTCCGTACAGATGGACTGTCCAGGCACTCCACCTGGGTGAGGGAGTTCCAGGCGATGGGGCCCGTAACCTTGGAGGCCCTGTCCGGCAGGGTTCGGGATGAGCCTTCCTCCAGATTGAGCAGCTGCCTCTTGGCCGAGCGGTCTGTGTCGGCCTCCCTGTGTTGTAATCCTGTTCTGGCTTTGGAAGGTATGCTGCAGAGCTGGTACTCTGCCTGTGCTCCAGGTCCGCTTCCTCTCGGTGTGTCTGCGAGGCAGTCTGTGTCTGCAGTGCAACTGAGCAGCAGAGCATCAGAGCACAGGCCATCAGGTGCAGTGTGCTGCTCCACTGTGGCAATGCACTCATTAGTATGGAGCAGCGCCTTGGTCCTCAGGACTCCGCTCCCCCCACAGGCCCCCTCCTCCTCCTCATCAAAACCCTGCTCAGGTGCCTTAGACTGCTTCACCTCCATGATAAAACCGTTATTCTGACCTTTATAAGTTTCCACGGCCGCCACATGCTTAAAGGTATGTCCTTTTTTGCGCTCGAAGGGAAACGTCTGATACCGTTTCTTCAGGTCGGGTGACGTCTGAACACCTGTGCTCCTTGTGACGTTAGGAATCGATCTGCGTGCAGGGACAGTCATGTATTTGCGGTATGCCACTTTGTATGACATTGGTTTGCCACTTTTCCCCGCTGCCTGCAACTCCGCCTCTCTTTGCTCGTTCTGCGCCTCGCAGATGTCCTTGAAACGCACTTGCAAGGCCTTGTTTCTCTTCCTCACCTGTCGATTGGCTTCCAGGGAATACTTTACCTCCAGCGCCAGCGAAGTGGAGGGCACGGGCGCTGCCTCCGAGTCAGACTCTGAGTTGGTGAGCATGCATTTGCCACCCTCCTTGCTCACCATGTTTCCTGAGAGGCATAGAGGAGAAACACTGTTAATCATCAGTAATGAGGGGCTTAGACAAAGACCCTTGCCTGACTATAACATCCCACTTGATAAAACACACATTCTCTCTTAGCTTAGGGAGAAGGGAGGAAACAGTGTAATTAAATAGAGCTAAAGGTATATGATTAAAAAAAAGCTTTTATCAGACACTTCACGTTAAAATGAAACAAATAGACATTTTCAGTGAATATCTTTGAAAAGCTGAGGTTGATATTTGATATGCTTTCTTTTCTTCTAGAGCTAAAGGTGCAGCTTAAACTATGGAAGTCAGTTTTTCATATGCATGTACTGCAGATTTCTTTCCCTTTTTATTTCTTTTTTTTATTGCCCGATTTCATGGCTCTTTTATGCTTGGCAGTTATTTACTGTTTATTTGCTGAATCACAACTCAGTTTAGGCTGTAAGGGTTCCCCAAAAATTATCCTATCAAATTTCCATGATACATTTAATCGCCTCTGTGAAACTAATAACTCCAGTTTTAAATAATTTTCCTTCGTTTATCATTGTCAGTTAAAGTGTCTTTCATAACGACTTCCTCCTTTTCCTACCCCACTTTCTACATTTATGAGTATCTGCTGCTCTATTTGCGTTCGCCTTTTGGGTTTGTATCAATCACCGAGCTTACAATATATAAGGATGATGTCTGATTTTCCTTTCCGTGGTTTATTAGCTTCAGCACGATTCTTCACTGCCTCACCTTTCCTGCTCATAGTTAATAATTAATTCCCTGAATATGAAAAGTAGTCTCTTTTCTGACTTAACTGAGAAAATGTTAAGAAAAACATGAGGTTGACATCTGCAAACAGACAACTCTTTGTCAGAACGCTGTACAACAAGCCTCTGAGGAGAAACAAGCGGAGATAACGAATTATCTTTCCTTAATACCACAGGTATGGTAGTGGGATCGTGACTCTGCAGTGTGCCTCTGAGGCTCTGACAGAAATATATTTCACCTTCTGCCTCCTCATTTACAATAAGGAAACGCTCCACGCACTCATATAGATGCTGAATCAGATAGGCCAATTATCCTTCTCAGCTTATCTGCCATGACTGTTCTCTGTCACCAGCAAATGACTTCCTATTTCAAACCTGTCTGTTTACTTAGCTGGGAGCTACAGAACAGTTTTCTTTTTTCCCCCCCATCACTGTCTTCTTCGCCATCATCTATCACTCCGTAATATTAAATTAGCACGCTGGGTCTCTGGCTCCATTAGGCGACACCTATTTTTTACTGTCTCACCTAACATCTAGCTTAAGAGTCTTGTCTACAGACATTAGTCAGTGGCATCTGTAAATGTGATACTTTTACAGTGTTATAATCATTCAGTCATTTTATGCAAAAAGGTGCCTCATCCTCAGTTGCTTTTTCCTGCAATGAGAATGAGAATTTAGTTTAGCTGTGAATTATATGTTACCCGTTACATCCTTCGTTTACTGGATATGTCATGCCATATGGTATAATTGTCAGTATCATAGGCTTTTTTCATAAAAGAAGCTGATTTTGATTGAAACAGACAGATTGACACTCTTCCCTTGAAACTGGTCAACCCTCCTCCAGTTGTGCAGTTGGGGAAGTGAGAGCAGCATGCACACATAGACAGGGTTGAGATGAGATGCTTTCTCCTGTGCAAACAGATGTCTGTTTGATTCTGAGCAGATGGGTAATTACTGATGTGACCAAGTGACCAGGGAATACAATGTAATGCAGTTTTTTGTTGAAAATGTATAAAAGCCCAGCACGGGGCATGTTGGTAAACTACAAAAATCCTCTGCTGTTAAGATACACTTCCCACTTTAACAGGGGTATATAGTGAGTAGCTTTTATTTACTGTGCATCGTTCAAGAGCGGATGTTATAAAATACTCCACAACAAAAGACTAAAAAGCAAGTAAGAGACAACAAAAGACAATAAATGCAGACAACTGGATAAAAATGTAAGGCGGGGGGATGCAGGATGTGAGAGAGCGATAGTTCTCCCTGCCCTTCACGCAAAGGCAGAGCGGGATTGCCTCATAATTCTCCATCGTCAAGAGCAGAATGTCAAAGGTCATGGATACTACAATTTTAGCCCCAGTGTCCCTTTTAAGAAAGGATTTCTGTAACCCTTCACATAGAAGGCTTTAAATATACATTTTGGTGCCGCTACCTGAACCTGAACCATAAAAACATTATTATTATTATTATTACATACATAGGTCCACACAGACATTAGAGTTAAACTGTAGCCAAAAATAATGATTGAGAGATTAAGGATATGCAGGGGAGTTTTCAGCAGCTGATTCAGCCAACGTGATGGGCCGAGGAAATTTAGGAACTCTAACCTTAAACGTTTGTACGCCTCTGGCTTTATTAAAAAAAGAAGAAAAAAAACATGCGATAATTAAAGACCCTGATCAGATGATTGCAGAAGAAAACCACTGCAATTAGTTCTTAGTAGCTCTGTTATACATGCAGGAACCTGGGAATATTTGTTTTATTAATAAAAAATGAATTCTGATTTTTACTTGAACCCAGTGAAGGGAAGGAAAAATAGGGATGATGTGCGAGTGTTAGGTTTTTTGTTTTGATTTTGTTTTCCATTCTGGACCAACTGATGGACACGTGAAATGAGCTGCAATAATCAAGACAGGACACAATTAAAGTTTGTACTAAAAGCTCCAGATTTTTGGGTGCCAGTAAATGGTTTTTCTTTACTTTTGTTCCTCAGCTGCAGGCTTATAGGTACAGTGCAGGAACTATTAGTTCATTATAAGAAAAAAACATGATTATTTTACTCTCTACTGATCATATCACAATCTTTGTGTAATAGTTACATACGAAACGATACATTTTTTCCAATCCTGCACTCATACAACGCTCGTTGTGTCTCCTGATACTTTTTACCACATTTAAAGTCATTTAAAATTCATTTTAGTTTTATTTTTTAAATACTTTGTTATATTGTTGTTGCTGCCACTCTTTATAATAACATATAAGCTGCTGTAACAAAATAATTTTGGGTAAAAAAAATATATATATATATATATAGACATTTTGTTAATATTTTTCCAGTATGTGGAAAGAAGAAATGATCAAGAAGAAGCCAGGGAGATCTTTGTTCAGTTACCAATGGAAACAAGTGTTACAGTTTTTATCACAAAATGTCCAATTATAGCAAGTGTAAATCACATAAAGGCTCCTGACCCCTTTGCCATGAGGCTGATTGAGCTGTGAACATTCAGGAAGTTACAGGAATGTAAAGTGGAAGAATCAGTACAGCACCTCCCGGTGAATTATTTCCTCTTGTTATTACCCTGTTTATCCCACATTTAAAAACCAGCAACTGAACAAAGGCAGATAATATTTTTTTAAATTCTTTTGACTACTTGCCATGTTACATTTATTCCCAGAATATATCTGTTTGCTCGCTTGGCTGTGTTCCATCACTGTCAAGAGACCTCTCCATGTTTGTTCAGTGGATGACATTTTCAAAGAGAGTTTAAATCGCTAACCTACATTCCCTCTCTCCAAATGAGGTCAATAAATACTTCGGTGGTATTAGCTAGGTCTAAATTAAACATTATATTTAATATGTGCAAATTTATGTATGATTACATTTCAAGATGTCACCCTGTTCTGAGCCATTAGGTAGGAATGTAGTTTGTCAGCACAAACAGCAACAGTGTTGCTTCTCTATTACTCTCTATTCCTCCTTTCCTATGCGGCGGCATGACAACGTGTACAGTTTTGTGATATTGTCTCATGTTCACATTTACATTTGATCGTATTTGACATGTCAGCACCGTAGGATGAATGATGTCTTCCTGGCTCCCCATATCTGATTTGTTACCCATTGGGTGCAGACACGGGCAGCAGCACTCGTATCTCCCCTCCAGCTGCAACACCACCCTCTGGCCTTTTGCATAAACAGGATGATTCAGCATGCAAGGCTGTGACAACTGCCTCTTTTCATATGGTGGCCCTGGTCCTTTTTTTCTATTTAGAAGCTAGTTGGTGAAGTGACCCACAATTTTCTACCCAGACCCCCCCACCCAAAAAAAATAATCAAAAACCCAGACCTCACAAGGTCACATGCGCATAGCAAAGCACACTGACATTTTAATACTTGACCTGGTTTTAGCAGCGCCGCTGTCATAGCTGTCACGCTGGCCCTTTAGGTCACCATTTGGAATTTCTAGGGACACAATCACATTTGGCTAAAAGCGAGCCCGTTGAGCATTGCTAGTCTGGGGGCGATATTCTTCCGTTTAACAATTATATTAAGTTCTGCAATGGTTCGAGGACAATCCAGGTTACTGCAGTAATGCAATTCATTATCGTGGTATGATAGCAGATAGAAGAAGAGAAGTGGTGCGCTCAGAGCACGTCCTCGCTTACACAGTGCACCTTACATTAAATGGAACCCCAATATTTGCCCTATTTAAAACTTTATACAAGTCACTTATTTGATGAATGGCAGCCTCCTAATTTTGCTTTTGCTCCCTGGGAGGACATCTTAAAAGGTGGAAATTTCCGTGTCCTGACTCAGCCTGGGGATTGAATGTTTACCCTAACTTCGAGCCTGACTAATTTTGTTTTATCTCTTCTGCTCTACTGACGGGAAAATTCATTAATATGGTATGCATCACAAAACCGGTGAATCGATCGAACGCTGGAAATGCGGCTATACATGTCAATTAGCTGCAGCAATGTAAGCATCCTATCTCGTTTAAGCATTTAATGGTATGTTTCTATTTTGGGGATTTCCAATCGTGCAGCTGAAACATACGCTCGGCAGAGAATGTAAAAATATTTTCCTGGCAGCTTGGAACAAGTAGTACAACTCTAAGCTATTTACTCATACAGTAAATGACTATATCCTTTTACTCTGAGACGGTGGGGCTTTTTAGAGCACTTAGTTTCAATTCTGAGAACTATTGATGTCTCCAGTACAGTGATATTTTTTGTAAAGTATGCTTCCCTGTATGTAGCATTGATCTAGGAAAGGCTTGCTCATTTTGGGGTGAACTTGCATACACAGACTCAGCCCTCCACCCCATTCAGGACCTTTGGGATGAACTGGAACGCCATCTGCGAGCCAGGCCTTGTCACCCAAGCAACATCAGTGGCTGACCTTGCTAGAGCTCCCACGGCTGAATGACTGTTTATTCCTCCAGCCAGCTTTCCACATTTTATAAAAAAGCCTTCCCAGAATATCAATAATAGTACTTTTTATGTACATATTAATGTATATAGCTGTGTGCTTTGTGAGTTTTTCAGACTGTATGAGCTTGAAGTTTGGTATTGAATTGCACTGCAGTTTTACACTATTAAAAGTCATTGTGATCTCAGAGGCTGCTTAAAGGAATGAGTGGCAGTATCATCACAGTCATGGACATTTTCAACTCTTTAATCTAGTCTCATCTACTCCTGCTTTGTTTCCCTCTTTTCCCCCCCTCCACTGTCATAATTATACAGGGCTTAGTGGTGTTTTGCAAATTCTTTGATCTGCCTCTTAAGAGCAGACGGATTACGCAGTAAAAAGATTGTACTGGTAAGGTTACTTGACAGTGTGGGTTTATTGCTGGGTTATTATTTTCTGTCTCTTTGTGCCGTGTCATGTGAGCAGGCTTGGCTGTACCCTTGTTCATAGAGTGGGATGTGAGGAGGATTGACGGCTGGGTGTTTTGACAGTAAGTTGGTATTGAGGGAAAATATTAGGGAAGTGCATTTTCCTGGCATCACATGCAGGAAATCCTTTGTAAGTAAACAGTAGTTTACTGCTGTGGCATTGCACTGGAAATGGCTGGATTTTATGGGATTGGTTTCAGGCATGTTTAATTCAATGATGCTTCCTTCCATTAGTTTTTTTTCTACATTAGTTATTATCTATATTATTATTTCAGCAATGAATAAATACTATCTGTAGGATATCTTAAAGCGTAATATAAAGGCGTGTTTTCACTCCTGGTTACAAATCATGTTGAGTTTAAGGAGAACTAAAATTACACCCATCATCTTGGATAACATAGCTTGGCTTAAAACCAGATCTTCTTAAAGTGGACCGCAAGCCAAATGGCTGATTTAAAATGATTTAGCTTACTCCAATAGCGATGATAATAATATCATAACTGCAGTATTTGTTTCGATGCCAGAATCCTGAAATTGTGACCGAACCAATCCAGATTCGCTGTTGATCCACGCTGATCACAATATCCTTATTTTATATTTCTGCAATAAAAAAAGCTATGTTTGCAATACATATGTTATTTTTATGCATTGAGGTTTTTATTTCTTCCACTTAATGATCCCAAAGTAAACCATGTGTAAGTAAGACATTATATACACATGGTTTAAGTATGGTGTTAGGAATAACTCTCACAAAAGAACATAGTGTACTCTATGCTGGCCTGCTGCTTATGTGGATCTTCTTATCCTCGGCCTGTAGCCCCCAGACTTTGTATCCTAATTATTTTTTACGCACTCTGTCCCTGCTGAATTGTACTTAGTTGGCTTTGCGTGGTGCACACTCAGGTAGGACCTTGATTAATTCTCAGAAAGTCTGTCTGTACGTCACAGGCTACTCTAGAGGGAGATCAGACCTCAGGCTCTATACTGCAGAGACTGCCCGGCCTAATCACAATACATCATTGCCTCATCACCTTTTTTTCTTTACCACCTTTCTGCAGAACATTAGATCTCTTTTTTTTGTCTTCATCCCCCTGTTTTGTGCTCGTCTTCTCGTTGCTTTCTCTGTGTGTTTTTCTGTCTCTTTGCCTTCTAGACTGAGGTTTCAAAACTGATGGGTAACTAGAGAACTCCCCTGCTGCTTTCACATTCCTCATTGTCATCCCTAGCAAAGAAAAAAATACCCACACATATACACAGCTACACATGAAGATGGAAAAGACGAGAAGAAACAGGTGCAGATAGAAAGAACATGGGGCTTATACTCGGTTCGGATATTGCAGATTGAACGTGGGTAAAATAGAGACAGAAATGAAAGGGGAAGATGAAACCATGGAGAAAGATCCATCAAGAAGAATAGTCAGAAACCACAGAGGAAACAACAGCTAAAGCCATTCTGTCTTGTGTCATTTGGTCAGCTCAACTGAATCTTAAAAGTATTGTGACGACAGTAACATCAAAGCAGTGTCACAGAAAGTGAAACTTGATATGTTCTTTGAAGAAAGTTTTATGTTTTAAGGATTTTCACATAAAAAAGAAGGTTTTGTGAGGGTATATTTCACAGCACTGACGTGTGATGAGGCAAACAAGTAGGTTTGAGTGACAGTGTAAATAACTATTAAGGTAATGACTAAATACTTGGGACATTTGTGGTTTTGCTAACTGTTCTGGATACAGCAGGAACTGTGCATACGATCTTTTGACAGATGTTAGCTGGTGAACAGAAACCTTTTTAACAACAAAACCTAAAATGTTTACAACACATTTGCTTACCTTTTCCTATAAAGGTCAAAATTTGGGGCTTTTATGTAAATGAAAATTTAATATCTGGATTTTGGGATGTTGGTCAAACCTGTTTTACACCAGATAAAAACAAGAGAAGGTAATTTCTTATAATCAGTAGACTTGTTAATTAAATATGAACTTTATCCATATAATATATAAATACATATACAAATTTATATACTTTTTCTAAGGGAAAGTCCTTGCTGATTTCAGCAAAACAATGCCGAGTTTCATTTGGCGTGCATTACAACACCATGGTCTGTTAGTGTTACTGGCCTCGAATCCAGACGCGTCACACAATAATTAAAGTTATGAAAAAGTTATGACAAAATGATGAACGAGACCCCAAACTTTTGAGAAAATCTGATATCAGGAGAAAACAGGAAAATATTTCTCTTTCAGAGGGTCTTCTCAGTTCTCAAGCTCTTACAAAACACTGTCAAGAAGAAGAGGTGATGTAACACAGTAGTAAACATGGCCTTGTCCCAGCTTCTTCTTTCTTTCAGCATGCCACTGGCAACAAATTCAAAAGGCTATATTTTAAAAAAACAATAAAATGTTATAATATTTGGTGTGTTGTCTTCCACTATTTTCAGGTTTTACATGATTTGTAAATCACTGTAGTTCCCCCACTGATCACCATAGTGAATAACATTCCTCGTCTTGTTACAGTACAGTGTTATACTGGGAAACATTGATCCTGGCAGTGGATAGCACTTTGACACATACCACTCATGCAGACATCACCCATCATAGACTCAGCACATCCCCAGCTGCTGAGTGGGCCTTCAAACTGTAGAGTTTCCAATAACACTGAACATTTCCTACCCCAAGAGGTGCCCTTTTAAATCCCTGAGGAGGTGAAGCTGTAATTGGTAGAACAAGGGGCAGCTACACAATATTTAGTTGTTGGTTTTAAAGTTTTGTCTCATTTTTGCCTCAAAAAAATCAAAAAACTCCTCTTCTCCTGCAGATGAATAGGAAAGCACATGTTTCACGCACACATACACTTGCAGCAACACTTAGGTGAGATCAGGTGTGAAGTGCCTCCTTCTGTATTCATGTGATGTACAAAGTCAGCCACACATATCTACACACGGTCCCATCTTCAGCGACACACACACACAGTTCACCCAAACTGCATTACGTTGCTGTGGTCCTCCCAGTGAAAATACTCATTCTTAATGAATAATCCTATTAGCACATGAAAGGTAACATCTGGCTTGTTCCAAAAGCAGTCATTCTTTTATAGGAGAGTCATTTGTTTTCTGGATGAATGAGTACCCCTCCCAGTGAGCGGGGTGATGGGAGGTGAATGCACACTTCGCCACTCGTTTGGAAACGCGTGTACTTTTTGCAGGCCACCTCTAATGTTTTTTGTTTTGTGTTTTTCCCCTCCCTTGCTATTTCCCCCTTTCTGTGTGCACACGTAAAAGCTTTAACTTTGTTCCAGCTTTAAATCTCCAGGAACCTCTCTGCATTTGCACTGATAGGACATAGGTGATGGCCTGAGCGTACTCCTGTCTCGTGTGTTTACGTGTGGCAGTT